AGAGATCTTCTTCAAGGCTTTGTTAAAGTGTAAAATGTTTCTAATCAGATTGCTCGAGAGGCACGCGGACGAATAACTGACCGTTGAGGGTTACCACAGCCGATGTGTGATGCGGATCAATTCTTGTCGGTAAACTTACCACCTGCAGTTCCAAGAGAAGATAAAAGATAATGTCATTCAACATTCTATAATTATGCCAGGACATGTTTTTGTACTTCCAACAGATTTGGATTTGCGGAATTATAAGCGAAAGAATCACCTAACTATCGAGCATTACCTTTTTGAAAGGAGTAGCTCCCCAGGGATTCATAGGGTTCTCTGGTTCGCCACTAATTACTAACCGCCCTGCCGGATCTGATTGGACTCGGACCTGTGTTATTGTTGCCAAGACAAAAACTGAGTGCGAAGCTCGATCTTAGGATAATTCATATGTAAACAAAACAAGTGTTTCAAATTTGAGAGCTAACCTCTTCCCGGACTAATCCTGGGACTAATGCATACACCTCAAAGCAATCTTGCTGCGGATAATGGAAGAGATTATTAGTACATGTAAAAATCAGGTAAGTGATTGCTAAGATTTTCAAGAAAGCAACGATTGATTTTACCGTCCTCTGTACGTTAACTTTCACCCAGTCAGCTGGTGGTCCAACATCAACAACTGTCACATCCAACCTAGAAACAAAAACAAATTGGAATCAGACTTCAAATTATGATATATCACCTGCCGAAAAGTCAGACCGCAAAGCTAATAACCGTACATGGGTTTAGAGACTTGGACAGCACTTTTTACACCATGTTCAGCAGACGATGGCCTCTTGCGTTTGAGCATACCTGAAGACATTGTGAGATGTAAGTAATAAACTGAGTCAAAATTCAAATAATACAAATGAGAACAAACACTTCTTCATCAAACATAACTCATACCAGGGGTGGTTCCTATCTGTTTTTCGCGCTTTTGATGAAGGACTAAATTCTTATCCTACAAATTACGAAACAGCGTGCGGTTCAGATTATGAAAACAAAGATGGAGTGAATGAATGTAGGTAACAAAATTTTGCCGGACCTTCATTGCGGGGTCACTAACTTCACCGTTACCATTAGCGCGCTGTGAATGCCAACCTTGCATAGCACGTGCTGCTGAATCTCTCCTCGCTCTACCTGATCCAGAAGCCTACACGACAGGAGGTTAAGTTAACCATAAACATTAATCATAAGAAGAAGAACAAACAAAACCTACGGACGACTGATATGATTTTCATGATCTTACCTGATTGTCAATATTCATTGGTTCTGGTTCAGAAGCAAGGGGTACATGAAGTTCACCTGCCATGACTTTGTGCCGTTCATATTCAAGAAGAGCCTGAAAAAGAAGAAACGAATAACATTATGAGATGCTACTGGATCTAATTGATTGTTCTCTGTTCAATCAATTAAATTATATTACAGAAGGATTGAAGCAGAGTCCCATGCCAATTTATACAAAAACCACATGAATGAAAACAAAAACAGAGAATGGAGAAGAGGATAGATATAAAATCTCACCTTTTCGTAGAAACCTCGGAACGTCCATGATACTGTAGTACATGTCCTGGAAAAACAATTCAGCAATTAGAAGGAATTCTTGAGAATATGCATATAATCCCCCCCCCCCCACAACTGAAAGACAAAACACTAATAAGAAAAGCACAAGGTTAGTGGATAATGACCAAATTTTTCTTACTTTGGGGGCCGGAAAGACTCTCCTACTTGTCGCCATAGTTTGCAACCAGTAACCTATTCAGAATAAAGCATAACTAACCATATTAGAATATCACCAAAAGCGCCACTCCTAGATCATTTAACCACGGTATGCATGCAAGAAAAAAATCAGGAGTGAAGATAAAGGATGAAAAGCAAAAGCCACAATGCTCATCAACAAAGATGTTGTGATGTTCATCAGATGTATTGACAATGCCACGTACCTTGTCATAACCGCCTAATCTAGTTACAGCTCTCCACAACCTTGTGCCAAAGAAATTAACTGAATATCAGCTTCCACTGCAATTTTTATAATGTATAACATACTAATGTAACTAAATAACGCTGGGAAGCAGGCTTACTTAAGGCAGTTTAGTGCCTCCCCATAAAACTTTGGAGGTTTGAATTCCATTTTTCTTTCTCTAAAAAACTGATCTAATTCTTTCATAAAATCAGATTGATCCTCCTCCGTTCCAGATTCATTACCATCCGACATATCATCCAAGAGGAAAGAGCGCTTTGCAATCATGGTCCCATCAATAGCAGGTGGTGCCATATCTATTTTGTGGACTCCATTATTCATATCTCCACTTATCACCACTTCAGTCTTTATATCGGAAGATGCAACACAAGGAGGACCAGGTTCACGTCTCACTGATGCACTTCCATTATCAGCATCATTTCCTTCAGGTGCTACAGAATTATATTTCTCTTCAGCGTTAGTAGGAGCCTCGACATTCACATCCTTGTTATTACTAGAGTCAACAAAAGTATCAGCAACCAGCTCAGAATCGGGGATGTCAAGTTTCATGTCTTCCGTAGGTTCAGCCTCAAGTGTAGTCATTCCTTCGTTATGATCAGATAAAGTTTGGGTAGCAGGCAAGAGAGATAACTCTTTCTCAGTGTCTCCTGAAACTCCAGTGGCCAACACATCAGAGTTTTCGTCATTGTCTGTCAAATTTTCAGTGGCAGGCACGTCTGGCTCTTTTTCCTCGTTCATTGAGGTTTCTATGAGAGACTCGGATGGCTTATTGTCCAGTTTCGATATGGTCTCAGATTCAGGCACCTCTGCCTCTTTGTGAAGCTCCGTTACGGTTCCTTGATCATGATCGACTGGTCCACTTCCATGGTCAGCCAAATTCATATTGTTAGCCTCATCCTCGTCTATCCTGTCATTGTTCTCCTTAACAACTTTGGTATCAGGACTGACTGGAAATTCGTTATGGTCTCCTGAGGATAACATCTCATGTTCTTCTGCAGATTTTTCCGGCTCCATCACAGTATCAGCACGACGATGCGGTGATCCTATGTCCTCCGAGAGTTTGGTATCAGGACTGACTGGAACTTCGTTACGGTCTCCTGAGGGTATCATCTCATGTTCTTCTGGAGCTTTGTCCTGCTCCATCACAGTATTAGCATGATGATGCGGTGATCCTCTGTTCTCCGAGAGTTTGGTATCAGAACTGACTGAAAATTCGTTACGGTCCCCAGAGGACATCATCTCATGTTCTTCTGCAGCTTTGTCCTGCTCCATCACAGTATTAGCATGATGATGCAGTGATCCTCTGTTCTCCGAGAGTTTGGTATCAGGACTGACTGGAAATTCGTTACGGTCTCCAGAGGACATCATCTCATGTTCTTCTGCAGCTTTGTCCAGCTCCATCATGGTATTGGCATGACGCTGTGGTGATCCTTCTTCGTCAGAGAGTTTGGTATCAGGTATTGTAGTTTTTTCTCCATGGACTACTGCATTATCATTGTCAACCATGACAGAATCTCCGTCATTTTTCAATATATCTGAATTTACTTCACTGGACCCTATGTTATGTTCTTCCACAGTAGGCTCTACTAACCCTTCTTCAGGATCTAAAGTCACTGAAGGAGAAGGACCTAGATGTGAACTTGCTTCTAATTGGGAATTCTTCTCATCTTGGGCTTTCTCATCATCAATCTTCAGTGGATCATCATCGTTGGTTCCCTTCTCAAGGATAGGAGTCACCTTGCTAGAATCTAAAGAACTACTTTCTTCAATAACCATGGGACAATGAGAATCTTTATGTTCCTCGACGATAGCTTCCTCTCCTACTGTCTCTCCTGGATTTGTATTCTCGGTTTCCTTTACGTTATCCTGACTTTGCTCTTCAGTTTCAATTTCCTTATCGATGCCCTGTTCAACTCTCTCACTCTCCATTTCCGTTATATTCTCCATTGCTGATTCCATTTCAACAGCATTCCTATCATAATTCACATATAGAAGAAATATATCAAATACAAATGGCAGAAAACAAATGAAATGACCATAGGTGTCATTGAAGCTCATAAATTATGTAAACCCCAAAGCACAAAGGTATCTGATAGGCACTACA